TACTTCCATTTTCTGTACATTATTTACATTATTCGGACTATTGTCTTCATCTTTGTCGCCATGTTTATTACAACGTTTCGGCCGTTGTACGCTCCGGCCTTCTTCATTTGGTTGGAATGTCGATCATAACCCTTTATTTCGCCTACTGGTGTATATTGTTCTAGTTCTACGTGCCATGTTTAATGGATATCAGTTATCTCCTGTTAATTTCTCTCTGAAAGTTCTCCACTGCCTTAACCGGGTATTGAACTCTTTGGGTCCTGTCACTGGATCTAACCAACGCCTTTATCCACTGTGCCATGTGTCTGTGAGGACATCTGTGCATGAATTTCTGGGTATTATAAAACTAATGTCTTCAGCAACCATTGGTACCAGTGCTCATTTTGCAATTTTTTGATGTCATCACAACATGTTTTTACCAGAGCTCATATTGCAACTTTTGTTGTTGTTATCGCTTTTCTCTGGCACTCCTTATTACTGGGTCCCATATTGTATTCATTTCTAGGCTTGATCGGCTCAGGAGATTTTTGTGGCCTAGCATATGTGCTGATTCATTAAGTTTACGAATTTCATAATGGTGTTCCTTGTCTACGATCTCAACCTGATCCCAGAGAGGGCGGTGATCTCCCTTTTCCTTCCATATGTGATCAGCCACGCCTGACTTTTTCACTTCTGCTCGTGTTACAGCTTTCTGGTGTTCTTGAAGCCTTATTTTCTGATTCTTATAATCTGACAGTTTTTGAAATTCTTTTAAGTAATATTGGAATCCTGTGGGCAAGGTATATCAATAATTTAGCAGATTCCTTTCCATACTGCGAAAAATTAATTCCATGCGTGACCATAGTATATTGCTGGGTTAGCAATTCAGGTAAATTTCTGGAACTGAGCATTTTCGAGTATGTTCCAACTTCTATATTCTTAACTCTTTGAGCTGTGACCACCGCTTTACCAGTGGTAGAGAAAAAATGACGTAATCCCCAGCCACCAGTCCAACAGTGATCGAGTGATTACGGTGGGTAAACTATTTTTATATTTACCGTAAAATATTACAGTGATCCCTCGTTTATCATGGTAGATTGGTTCCGAGACCGGCTGCGATAACTGAAGTTCTGCAAAGTAGAGACGCCATATTTACTGTATTTATTTAACGTGTATTTGGTCTTTTAAAACCCTCCCTGTACTGTTAACAACCCACCCATTACAGTACTCTATTAATAACAAGGACAAATTTTAAGCAATAACAGTTTTTATATATATATATATATATATATATATATATATATATATATATATATATTGTTACTGTATTTATACACGAGAGAAGTTAAAGTAGAATTTGAATGATGATGGTGATGAATTTGCTGCGCAGTAGAAATGATGATGATGAAGCTGATGATGACTTCTACTGTGCAGCCGATAATTGTATTTTACGTCTGTTCAGACGGCGCTGCCCTTTCTATTGCTATTTTACGCTTGTTTTGTTGTTCCCTGACCAGTAAATAATATTCATTATTAATATTTTAATGGGTTTAATGAAAATTTTTCGGTGTTCATATATCGCGATTTCTTTAGAATTTTCCAGAAACTCCGCGATATATTTTCCATATATATATTTTAAAAATCCGCGAAGTCGTGAATCCGCGATAGTAGAAACGCGAATTAGCGAGGGATCACTGTACATACCAATTATTTGCGAAATTTGACTCAGGATATGAGAAGAGTTAAAATTGTTCAGGAACGCAGGGCTCAAAGTGTTAATACGCAGACCAGTAGTGTCATTCGTTGTTGAGTGGCAGAGGAACTTACACGTATACATCTAATGCTTTTGTTGGGGGGATCGGAAAAAGGAATCTAGAGCCACGTATTAATATGATGTTTTATGTGATTGATAAATTGGTTGTGTAAATTTAGCCTTATTAAAAATGGCTTTCTCTTCGAATGTTTTAGATGGTTCATGTGAGATCTCCCTGATGACGCAAGAAATGGGTAGCCCTCCAAAACAAATACAGATGCAAATGTAGACAGACTGTGAACCTAGTTACGCTCAGATCAAAGATTAAGTATATGACTGATAACAGAACAACTCTATATGAAAGGAATAACCCTGTGGCATATTCTTTCTTGGATTTGGGAATGAGACAAATGGTGCCTTATGAATTAGCAAATTCCTGGCTAGAAAAATCTTTCATTACAAAAATAAACCTACTACCTTATTCACTAAACTTTAGGCCCTCGCAATTTATCTTATTATTTTGAAAATATCTCTCTATATCACTGAGATGAGGTATTATGATTACTTGCATTATTTACATGATTCAGACTGTTATCCTCGTCTTCATTGATATATTCACAACGTTTCGGCCGTTGTACGCTCCGACCATTTTCAGGTAATTGAAATTTCGAAGCGAACCCTTTATTTCATCCACCGGGGTAGATTGTTCTAGTTCCACTTGCTATGCCTCTTCCAGGTGTCTCAGTTATTTCCCTTTGACTCAATTCTCCAAGACATTCGATGAGACAATGATAAACGATAAAGATTAATGCCAAACCCAAAAGCATTATCCGATGTCTCGTTTCATAGAATGATATTCCGATACCCGAGATTGGACTTCAGAACTTTAATGGTGGGGACTCTTCTCCCAAAACTAAAAGCGTTCCTAGAACAGCTTCTTTCATTTCTGAAAGTGTTGGTTGCAAAAACAACCCCTCCCTAAATTTGTAGACAAAACATACAGATGCATGCTAGGTTTTCTTCCGAGATAATAAGATAGGCCACGTCATAGTCTCATCCGACTTAACTTTGTTCTTTCTTGTTTTGAAGCCAAAACGCTGAGGTTACTTATCTGTATGCACCTTTTGTGTGTTAACACCATTCTTAATTTGTGATCTTTTGATTTAATTCTGTTACTTTTGCCTTGTTTATAGTATTTGCTTAATATTATTTTTACTATTTCGTTCTTTTTTCTAGTATTGTTTATTAGTGTTGTGGTAGGATCCACCTAATTTGCATAGTGGAGTACCGACCATATAAATATGGTTGGTACCGGAAAGACGGAAGGAGGAATCAAGAGATTTAATCTCAGTCGAACTCTCTGCATTTTGCAGTGAGGGACCCGGACGAGGCTTTGCCGAGAGGCAGGGTTTCGTCCGGGGCGGCTTTAGAAAGGCCATATTTTTGGCCGAGCCTACGGGCTCGGAGATACCCACTTTAAACCGGCCTTGTGCCACATTTTATCCTCGTGGGTGGATAGATAATTACATTCAATCCAGAGACTCTGCCCGACTGTGACTCAGTCAACACATTCTCCAGGAACGGTCTTACCAGGAATATACAAAAGACTATATGTAAATATTGTGTACACTTTCTTGTTTCAATACATTTTGTTCTAAGTACATTTTGTGTTGCATTATTATTCCATGCATTAGTCAAGTTTCAACAATTAGAAACTTTCTAATTTCTATTTCTTGGGCATTTCTACCAGTTGCATTTAACCGCGTCCAATTACTCTACAGAACGAATTCCTTAGAAAATATATCATCCAAGATCGTATAGACAGGCTTGGTTCACAACGGAGGAATGTCCTGTATCGATATCTCACCATAACTCTGCCATCGTGAAACACCTGTGCCATCGTTAACTATCTGTACCATCGTGAAACATCCCTACCATCGTGAACCATATGTACAACCGTGAACCATCTCTACCAGCGTGAACAATCTCTAGCATCGTTAAACATCTCTACCAACGTGAACCATCTCTAGCAACGTGAACCATACCAAAGTGAACCATCTCAACCAAAGTGAACCATCTCAACCAAAGTGAACAATCTCTACCATCGTGAAACATCTTTACCAACGTGAACCATCTCTAGCAACTTGAACCATCTGTACCATCGTTAACCATCTCTACCATCGTTAACCATCTCAACCAACGTGAACCATCTCTACCAAACATGAACCATCTCTACCAATGTGAACCATCTTTAGCTGCGTGAGCAGTGTACCAAAATTCTTGCCGTATTCAGAATTGCCCGCCATCATTGCAAAACGTTCGTTAAAATTTTAAGATAAGCATTGCCAAGTCACCCCAACTCAAAGTTGGGAAACAAAAGAATTGGTACCTTAGCGAATTCTACAAAATCGACATTAAATTTCTTAATACATTCAAACTATTAAAATGGCCTTGAGGTTGTCTAATCCTCGTCGGACAAGGCTAAGCATTTTGCAGTGAACTTTGACTCAGACACGACAAGGGCTATCCGCTACCTGATTTAACTTTATCACGATGCACAGACTTTCTGGTATCTCTAACACGACACAGAACGTTTCCAGTCTAAACAAAAAACTTGAGTCAACGAAGTGTAATGGAGCTGATAAAATCCTTGTAGCTGTTCTGAAGCATCTTAGTTAAGAGTTATCTGCAATTTTAGTAAAGTTATGAATCGAAGCCTGAGGGACAATTTTTCCTTAAATTTATGGAAGACGCCAGGTGCATACACTTTTTTTAACGAATGTTGGTGAGCGTTAATCGCCGTCGCAGTATCGTTCAGTCAGCCTCTTCCGTGTTATCAGCAAATTGTTTGAGCATATAATCAGTTATAAATAGCAAAATAATAGCCTAAAATCTGCAGTCAGGCTCTTAAATTTCATCGTCGGATATAAGCTTCCATATGACTGTCATGCATGGCGACGAACTCGTTCATAAATATCTAATCTGACAGTTTTCTCAGATCAATGGTTAAAAATGGTTTTGAACGAATGAAAACTGTAGGTCTGGACGAGGACTGTGATTCTTCGAATCTGGTGAAGGAGCGCACAATAAAAGAGGGATGTTTTTGAAATTACTCAAATGATAAAATTTATTATATTTGGTACTGTTCTCATTTGTTGCGCGCTAGTTCACCAGATTCGAAGACATATGACAGCTTATATCCGAGGATGGAATTTAAAATTTAATTGGGATTTCCTTCCATACCTTTTGTTTGAAGTAGTGTGGAATGTCAATGCTTCCTTGACGTTAAAGATGTCAATATAATAGGAAGAAAGAAAGAAAGAAAGAAAGAAAGAAAATATGAAATAGATAGATACATAGATAATAAAAACAGAAGAACATTGATAGATAGATAGATAGATAGATAGATAATTAAAACAGATTGATAATAGATAGACAATGTAAGCAAAATAAGATAGATAGAAAGATAGATAATGAAAACCGAATAATATAGATAGATAGATAATGAAAACAGGACATAGATAGATAGATAGATAGATAGATAGATAGATAGATAGATAGATAGATAGATAGATAGATCGATAATTAAAACAGATTGAGATAGATAGACAATGAAAGCAAAATAAGATAGATAGATAATGAAAACCGAATAATATAGATATATAGATAATGAAAACAGAAGGACATAGATAGATAGATAGATAGATAGATAGATAGATAGATAGATAGATAGATAGAAAAACGAAAGGGTCTGGTCAATCATTATTAACATAATAGAAATAAAGAAAAAAAATAAAGAAATGAAAACCGAATAAGATAGATAGATAGATAGATAGATAGATAGATAGATAATTAAAACAGATTGAGATAGACAGACAATGAAAGCAAAATAAGATAGATAGAAAGATAGATTATGAAAACCGAATAATATAGATGGATAGATAATGAAAACAGAAGGACATAGATAGATAGATAGATAGATAGATAGATAGATAGATAGATAGATAGATAGATAGATAGATAATAAAAACAGAAGGACATAGATAGATAGATAGATAGATAGATAGATAGATAGATAGATAGATAGATAAAATAGATAGGAAATTAAAACAGAAGGACATAGATAGATAACAAATAGTCGCCTTATGTCATTGTTCTCTCTACGACTTACATGTGCTGTTCATTTTAGCGTTTGCTGTTGTTGAAATTACTCAAATGATACAATTTATTATATTTGGTATAGTTAACACTAAAAGGAACAGCACATGTAACTCGTAGAGAGAACAATGACATAAGGATGTTTTGACGTTCCACACTACTTCAAACAAAAGTTGAGGTAGGAAAACCCAATCAATGCTAGAAAGAGCGATAACAGTTAGTGAACGTAAGAAACCTATTTTCTTGAAAAATTATCTTAAGAGGAAGATCTTATAATTTTCAAACGAAACTAGCACTAGCTGCTCGGTCAATAAATGCTGATTATTTCCTTACAAGCAAATGGCTAATATTAACATTTCATCTCATATCCAGGTCTTATTTATCTGAATAATGCGGAAATTAAAAAAAATGTGTTTTAAAGTAATTTTTTTTTTAAAAAACAAGTACTGATTTCTTGTAACTCAACATTCTTATTAACTTCTTTCTGTCACTGCAATAAATAAGTCAATATATAAATATTAAAAATAAAAGTATTACCTTAGATTTTGTCACGGTCGCATGAAGGCTGGATATGACGCCATTTTGTTAGCGAGATTGATCTTTGTGATTATTATAATAAATCTGAACGCCTTCTTTAAGATGGAAAGACAGACGCGAGTAAGCGGGAAACTAACAACTAGAAGGACACATTAAAACAAAACAAAATAAACAAAAATTCGTAATAAACATCGGAAAATATTCAGTATAAAACTGACAAACAAAAACCGCTAAGAAAGCAGACGATTATAAAAATGTAAAAGAAAGAAAAGAAAGAAAAGATAGTAAGAAAGAAAAAACGAAAGGCTGTCGCCAATCACCATTGACATAATAAAAAGAAATAAAGATAGATAGATAGATAGATAGATAGATAGATAGATAGATAGATAGATAGATAGATAATGAAAAAAGGGAGAGATAGATAGACATTGAAAGCAAAATAAGATAGATAGAAAGATAGATAATGAAAACCGAATGATATAGATAGATAGATAGATAGATAGATAGATAATTAAAACAGATTGAGATAGATAGACATTGAAAGCAAAATAAGATAGATAGAAAGATAGATAATGAAAACCGAATAATATAGATAGATAATGAAAATAGAAGGACATAGATAGATAGATAGATAGATAGATAGATAGATAGATAGATAGATAGATAGATAGAAAAACGAAAGGGTGTGGTCAATCATTATTGACATAATAGAAATAAAGAAAAAAAATAAAGAAACAAAGACATATTAAAACAAAACAAAAAGTGGTAATGAACAACCGAAAATGTTTCTTATAAAACCAACAAACAAAACAGCTAAGAAAGCTGGCGATTATCGACATGTAAAAGAAAGAAAAGAAAGATAGAAACAAAGGAAAATGTGTCGTTAGTCATCACTGACGCAATAGAAATTACTAAAGAAAGAAAGAAAGAATAAAGAAAAAGAGAAAGAAAAGAAAGAAAAAAGAAAGAAGAAAACGAAAGTTTATGGTGAATCAGCATTGAGGTAATAGAAGAAAGAAAGAAAGAAAGAAAGAAAGAAAGAAAGAAAGAAAGAAAAAAAGAAAAACAAACAAAAGGTTGTGGCCAATCTTCATCGACATAATAGAAAAAAGAAAGAAAAGAAAGAAAGAATAGCAAACTAAAGGTTGTGGTCAATCATTATTGACATAATAGAAAGAAAGAAAGAAAGAAAGAAAGAAAGAAAGAAAGAAAGAAAGAAAGAAAGAAAGAAAGAAAAGATACATTAAAACAAAACAGAATATGAATGGTAATAAACATCTGAAAATATTCCGTATAAAATCGAAAAACAAAAACAAAAAGAAATAAAAGCTACGAAAAATAAATAAATAAATAAAAATAATCACAAACATCCAACAAAAAAATTTGATCGAATATCGACTGGGTTGTATGAAAAAGTGGAATCGAAATAAAAGGGACGAGTTATGTTCCCCTAAAGAACATTGGAAGAGAACAATTTGTCATTGGGATATGGATCTGTTTCAGGTTCACATGGTCAGGTAATTGTGCTGCTGCGGGCGGTATTTTTGTTCAAGGAATTGTGACGGTTTCATCAGAAAATGGAGTTGTAATTGACAAAGTGTGACGACAAGGGAAGAACTGGGAGCCGAATAAAGAGTGACGAAAGATGTTGGCAAAGAGAATGGAAGAAAAAGGGAAGAAGAGATTAGGAAGGAAAAGGATGAATGAGAGTGAAGGAGGAGATGACGGTGTGTAGGAAGAAAGAGAACAAAGAAAAAGAGACGTTAGAAAGAACGCAATTACCTAGAGAACAAAGAAAGAAAGAAGAGAGAAGAAAAAAAAAACAAGAGAAGATGAAGGAGCGAGAAAAAGTCTGCAAATCGATGACAATGGGAGGAATTTAAGATGAACGGGGAAAATAAATAAAGTATCAATGGAAGATGGAGGAAAAATAAAAGAACAGGAATGACGAAATAAAGGAAGATATAAATAAATGGTAACTCAAAAGAAAGAAAGAAAGATGTAAAACATAAATAATGAAAAAAATAAAACTGCAATAAAAACAGAAAGAAAGAAATACGAAAGAAAGAAAAAGAAAGGAAAACAGAAAAAAAGAAGGGAGAAAAGAAGCAAAAAGGAAACATTAACACTAGAAAGAAGAAAGTAAATAAATATAAGGGTGACAAGGAAAAAGAACACGTAAGAAAAGAGAAAATAAGGAGAAAGTAATAAATAAGTAAATAAAAACAAAAGAATGAGGGGAAGAGGCGGAAAGAGAAGGAAAAGAACAACGTAAAAGACGCTGAAAAATAAAAGAAAATAGGAAAAAAGAAAGAATGTAAGAAGAGAACGAATGAAGAAAGAAACGAATGAAACATGATAAAAAGAAACTTAGAAAGTGGGAAAGAAAGTCAGCAAGAAAGAGATTGAAAAGGGAAAAGAAGACGAAAGAAAAAAATGTAGAAAAAGAAAGAAAGAAAAAAGAAAGAAAGAAAAAAGAAAGAAAGAAGAAAGAGTGAATGGGAAAGGGACAGATGGTGAAGAAGAGAGAGAAAGAAAGAAAAGGACAAAGTAAAAGACGCTGAAAAAGAAAAGAAAATAGAAAGAAAGAAAGAAAGAAAGAAAGCAAACAAGAAAGAAAAAAAAAGAAAGAAAGAATGTAAGAAAGGAAAGAAGGAAGAATGAAAAGAAGCAAACATGATAAAAAGAAACTTAGAAATTGGGAAAATAAGTCAGCAAAAAGAGATTGACAAGTGAAAAGAACATGAAAGGAAAAAGAAAAAGAAAAAAGAAACAGACAAACAAACATACAAAGAAGAGAGAGTGGAGGGGAAAGATACAGAGGGTGAAGAAAAGAGAGAAAGACGGGAAAAGACAAAGTAACAGAAGCAAAAGTACAAGAGGAAGGGATATACAAATTTGAAAGAAGAAGAAGAAGAAGAAGAAGAAGAAGAAGAAGAAGAAGAAGAAGAAGAAAGGAGGCAGGGTAAAAATAAAAAAAGTAAATGAAACTGAATGAAATAAAGGAAAAGAGATGTTATTCCTGCTGAACATAATAAAAGAAAAACAATCTCAATTCGAACCGCGAAATAAAAAAAAAAACAAAAACATAATTGACTTTCAAGTGAGAAAAAAAAAAGAATACATACAATCAGAAAGCGAGAGGGAGAGGAGAGAGAAAGCGAGAGAGAAAGGTAGTGAGTGCAGGAGGGAAAGGGGAGAGAAAGGTAGGAAGTGTTAGAGAGAAACAATAAAAAGTGCGAGAAATCAAAATTTGATATTAAAAGCAAAGAAATGCCTTTCGAGATGGCGACATTAATCTAACGTTAGTTTGGCAAACGGGTTTCAATTTTACGGGTGAGGCAAGTGTCAATCCAAACAAAAAAAGAAGGAAAGGAAACAAAATAGGAACAATAAGATTAAAAAAAAGAAAAAAAAGAGAGGCCATCATGATAATCGATAAAGAGAAAAGACATTGAGTAGTTAGATTTAAAAAAAAAAGATAGAAAATAAAACAGAAGAGGAGGGGGAAGAAAATGGTGACAGAGGCTGGGATAGAAATGACACGGAATAACAAGAAAGAAAAACAATTAGAAACAAAAGAAAATGGTTACCGAACTGCTACGTAATATCCTCCTATATGGCAGTGAGTGCTGGACAAAGTCCTCACGCATAAAACTGACTTGAAGCAACAAAGATGTGGTTCTACAGAAAGATGATGAGAATACAATGGATGGAATATGTGAGCAACAAAGAAATTTTAATGAAAATGGGAACACTTGCATTCAGAATCGAAAACAAACAGCTGACGTTTCTGGGATGCATAATGAGGAAAATAGGTTTGGAAATTTTGACACTCAAAGGAAATATTGAAAGATTAATTCGTTTTCTATAGCTTATCAATCAGGTTATTTAGGTTATTTAAAGCCAGAAAATATTTTCAGATTGTAAGACGTTTTTTGATGGAATAATAATTGTTTAGTGATACAAATTTTACTAATTAACCCATACTTGGGGGAGAAGAAGTGAATTCATACCTTTCGCATGGGAATTTGCGCGTAAGTGAATATAACGAACCCAAATGGCATTGAAACTCTGCTCTCCGATGAAAAATTCAAGCCATTATCCATTACGCCACCTGCTCATCCAAGCATTGAGCACCTGTTTTTTTTTTCAAGCGTACACCTCTCTAGCTACTGACCCGGCTCAATGTTGCTTAACTTCGGTGATCGTACGGGAATCGGTTTTTCAACGTGATGTGACAGTAAGCCATAAGAGGGACAGATGATAAGTTTAAATAAAAAGCCTGTCGTAAATGAATAGCATAAGAGGGAGGTGGAGTGATATTTAAAAACAATTACACATTGCTAAAGTTACAAAGGATAGGAAGTTGTGGGGAGCCATAGTCGATTGCGTCCTTAATGGACACGGCACATAAAATAAAATTTCTTAATTTTTCCGGAAAACTGTTCATATTACAATTTCTTCATGTAAGTCTCACCTTCAAATTCAGGTTCTTTCACATTTCTCTTGTCTTTAACTATTTTATCCTCAGTTTTTCTTTATTTCTGTAATAACGAATGCTGAAACATAAGCTGAGTTGATCTCTAGTGTCCACAGTATATACTGTTTGCATCCTAACAGATCAAAGTAAGCTTCGCTTGGGTCACATCAGAAAATCGAAAGACCTTAGTTCCTCGAGAACTAATCTAAACGGTAACCATATAGAAATCAAGTGTGTAATCGGGTCTCAAATGGTGCCGACATAAAGAGGAATTTAAACTTACTGAACATAGGATATACACACACAAAATAACATGATGACAGTAAGTTATATAAACGTCCAACATGAGGTGAAGCCAGAATTCCTCACATCCGCACGAAAATGAAATAGAACGGAAGGAGAAAATCCCCGAAGCCATACCTACCATGGCCGACGTGAATATAACAAAGACAAGAAGTGAACAAACATTTTTTACGTTTGAAAATATTAGCTTCGTATTCTTATAAGACTTTACTAACATAAAATTAAAAATAGCTGTATATTAAAACATTGAACTTTTTT